GTTTAGTCAGGTATGATCTGAGAAAGTCTATTAGTGAACTGCGAATTCCCATAGCTTCCAATTCAATCAAGAGTCTTTTATGTGGTACTATATCAAAGGCTTCACTAGGATCAAAATAAATAACGACAACAGATAGATGGTCAATACGAAGAGAGGTAATTAGATTGAGAAAAGACAGATGACATGTTTCACAAGAGCGATCTGGTAAAAAACCATGCTGGTAAGGGCTAATAACATGATTGGATATGCAAATGCCGATAATTTTTAGGGAAATAATATTTTCAGAGATTTTGGCGAGGTAGGGTGCTTTATGGACACCTCGATAGTTCTGAACGTCATAACGACAGCCAGACTTAAATACTGGAATAATATTAGAAGTTTTCCTATAGTCAGGAAAGAAGCCATTTACGAGGAATACTGAAAAGATTTTGCTAAGCAGAGAAGGAAAATCCCGTAGCTGTTTTATAAGAGAGTTTGGGATATTGTCCGTTCCTACTGAGTGACAGTTAGGAAGATGATTTATCAATTTTTGAATAGTATCAGGAGAAAAATTAATGATGTGTAGAGAAGCATCAGACAACGGAGGAATTAAAGAGATTGGGTCAGTTTCAATGGTGAAATGTTTGGCAGAGAACGAATTTAAAATTTCCGCTTTGCGTGACTCCTCTGTAGTGAAGGCATCGCAAAGGCGGAATGACTTGGTGGGACTTAGCAGATGATCTTTGACGGAAGATCAGAGCAAATGATTTAGAAGCATTCACGTCATTAACAGCTAAAGGCTCTACGCCTCATTTTGAAAGCTAGTTCGCATATTTCAACGATTCTTAGATGAATTGTTAATGAGCTCACAGCAGGATCTTTAAACTGCTTGCGTAGCGTTTCAAGCCGGTTTTTAAGAAAGTATGGGACAGCGGTGGAATTAGCACTCGATTTGAACGTCTTCTGTGGAATTAGGTAGAGAAGACCTTCTGTTACTTATTGCGATAAATTGTTGAAAAAATTTAGATCATTATTTGAAAAAATATTGTGCCAATCAAGAGTGCATGTAAAGTTATTTACTAATTCCTTTTTAATATTAGCAAAGTCAAAAACACTACGTTGTACTGCTGGCTTTGTGGAAATGGCAACTGGAAGCCGACAATAGATTAATGCATGATCACTTGCAAAATGGTCATGATAAAAATCCATAGATAGAGGGAAGGTGCCATCAGTAAAAATTAAGTCTAAAACACCATTCTTTCTGGTCGAAGAGTGAACTAATTGAGATAAGGTTGAAAAGTAAATGGTGTCAAGCAGCATCTGGAATCTAGGAGGAGAAGTATGTGTGTACCAGTCAATTTCTGGCAAATTAAAATCGCCTACGATGATCTTGACATCGAGAGAAGTCTCTGCAATTTTTTCAGAGTTCACAGACTTGGCTTTCATTTCCGGAGGAACAAGGAGGCTTGTATACACATCCGACTAAGGCTTTCCTATTTTGCGGAAGGATTACCGAAGCAAAACATAAATTTCCAGAGAAGGAGGAAATGTTTAAGTCATAAGGCGAGTGTGCAAGTGAGGCTCTTATTTAAAGAAGGCAACCACCGCCACGGCTTTCCACACGATCCCGGCGGTATAAACTGAGGCTATCTATATTGATTGCCGAGTCTAAAATTAGATAGTGAGCCCAAAATTCTGTAATGCACAATACGTCTGTGTCAAACTCAACAGCTACACTTCTTAGGTGTGCCAACTTTTGCACGACAGATCTTGCGTTGAGAGAGACAATGCTAGGCGTATTCCTAATATGTAGGTTCCGCTCATTGCTACTTATAAAAAAGGAAGATCCGGAGGTGGAAAATTAAGCTGTTGGAACGTAGCATTTGGTGGAAGACAAAGTTGGTGTGGTCTCAAATTTGTGGGGTAAGGACCACTAACTAGAGATGCAGCAGTATGTGGAAAAACATTTGAGGAGGACCCAGGAAGACGAAAGCTATTTTGTTGGGATGAAAAAATAGGAGGCATGAAAATAGGATTTTGGGAATTGTAAGCATAATATGAGGGGTAGTTAAGTTAGGTAGCGGACGTATTGGTTCGGGGAAACAGTTAACATCAGGAAAGGGCTTGATTACTTGGGGTGTCAGACAAGCAATGGCATTGGAAAAGTTATCAGCAATGCAATATATATATATATATATATAGGGCAGAGCTGGAAAGATTGTTCACATCCTCCCTAAGACGATATGCTTACTCACAATCATATTATTAATTTGGCCATTAAGAAAAATATTAATGAATATCACAGGCAGATTGAATTCAAACTCGATATAATGAAAATGATAAGAGGTTCTGCATTTTGCAGGCTGGTGTGTAAGAGGGCTTCACGACTAAGGCGTTAAGTTCAGAATTCAGCATAGGAACAGGTAAAGACCTCCCTGAACTCTCATCTAGCTTCTTAGACCTAACTGCAAGGTCAGACCTGAGTGGCCAGGCAAGGGAACGTGTTGGATTTGATGCAATTTTATTAACTAAGTCACTATTCGGAGTGCTGGGAGTCGGTTGTGCTTCAAGGACTGGCTCATCTTTACTGTTAAGATCAAGCTCCCTCGCAAATTTGGGAGCCGCATTTGAACAATCCTTGCTTCTTGGGAGAGTTATAAAGAGGCTTGTTTCAACTGTCTCTGTGATACTGCTGTCAGTCAAAGGGCTAGATGGAACTGGGGCCGCTGTAGATAGTGGGGATATATAATTAAAGCTGCAGGGTTTATAGACCTGCTGGGCCGTAAAGTCTTGGTAGATCTAAGAGGAGGCGGCGTACCCTAAATGGAACTGTACTACATTTCTTTTGGGTCGGCGTCTGATTCACTTTTGGAGTCTCACCGTCCTGACACCAAGGCACAGTCGACTTAACTGTAGAGCTTGTAGAACCTGTTGAACTAGGAAAGTTATAGGTCTAGCTGATGTAGACGAATTTTCATGTGTCCCAGGGGGCTACCAGGAGGATAATAAACGACACATGGGCTTGCTGTTGCTGCTAGTTTAGGGGCAGGCGAGTGCTTCAGGTGGCCTGAGTGAGAGGGAGACGTAAGAGTAAGCGGAAGGAGGTAGTCAGATGTAGCAGGAATAGGGCCAGCTGAATCCGCACGTTCACTTGTATTATGACCGAGTTGGTGAGTATTAGACTGGGAAGCAGTGGGTTTACGTGAGAAAAGGGATCCGATTCTACACTTCATAGAAGTAAGATCGTGCCAAAGGAAAAGATCATGACAAAAGAAAGGTGCATAGTCACAGGATCTCGATGGGTAAATATAAAGTCAACCGCGATTAGTGAAAAGAAGTTAACTAAGGCATGCGGATGTTTGCTAAGGGGGACAGGTGTTTTGCATCGACAATTTTGTAGTTGAAACCACATGAGTACAGGAAATTAGTCGCAACGTCATCGGCCGTGCAGGTCGAGGAACATTTTTCAGCAAAATTTGCAAGCTCTGTTTTGTCTATCACTAGATTCACTGGCGATCAGGTGGACAAGTGAATCAAGGCGTTTGCATTCTTCAGTGAGAAAATCGGAGGTGTTCACGACGAATAATTTTTCCAGAATAGAGGGCATAGTGCCGAAGATTGGTATAAAACCATTGAAGTTGTAAAGTGCAAACATATTAAGCTGCCTGTCAGTTACAACGGGTGACGATTGACCACTAATACCCTCAGACTTAGAACCTCTGGATTAGATTTAGTTAAGCCATGCTTACGTAAAGAGGCCGAGATCTCTCGCCGACCTGTGACCTTTAATCTCGTCTTGTCTCGAGTAAAGTCGTAATAAAACAATCTTCTGACGAACCAGGTGACTGAATTTCAGGTAGAGGCTAACGATGTCAAAGAATTACACAGTGAAAGAGAAATCGAATGCACAAAATGCGAATAGCAGATTGCGACTGGTGGTCAACAGGCACAAACTAGTAGAACTCAAAAAGAAATAGCAACTGGTAATTCTGAGTGAATATGGCCTGTATTTTAGGAAATGTAACCAAAAAACAGGGGCTTAAATCATTAGGTCTCTTAGAAAAAAGCACTTACTATCTTCCACTTATCTTCAAATTTAAAATGCTAAATGCAGTTTTAATTAACTTTTCTGGTCCGCGAATGGATCTAACTGTCCTCACCTTATAAGCAGCCGCGTGTTTACCTTAAATTCAGGCTTACGTCAAATTTGAACTTGGATGATTTATGCATCTGTTAAATTCATAATTGTCGCATACCTTGTAAATTATCGAGGCATGAAAAGCAGAAGCGAATAATACTATTTGCCTACCGGCAATTGAAAATTTAAATGGCGTAAACTCGCCACCGACATATTGCTGTTTACGAACTGTGAGAAGGCATGAACTCCTAATTAAAAGACTCCGATATACTGTCAAAAATAACTTCTATGTACTTCGATATATTCTTGTCTAGTCATGTCGCGAATACTGTTCGCGAGCGCGGCCTTTACGTGTTATTCATGCCACCGTGATTTTTGATTCAATGCAATACAAGGAGCAAGTTTTTAAATCACCCTTGCTCAACTTAATCTTCCTAAATTATCAGGATTAGGGCAGAGCTGGAAAGATTGTTCACATCCTCCCTAAGACGATATGCTTACTCACAATCATATTATTAATTTGGCCATTAAGAAAAATATTAATGAATATCAGAGGCAGATTGAATTCAAACTCGATATAATGAAAATGATAAGAGGCTCTTTGGGAAGATGGAGTTGCATTCGTGAACGTTCATGTTGGTGGCACCAGTTCGACGTCAGACGAAATGAAGACAAAAGAGAAAATGAGAAAGTCACACGACTAGTCGGCAAGACAGGACCAACATTCACTGGCAGACCATTAGAGTGGGAAAGAAATGAGGTGGGACGGGAGAAAAGGATAAGAAGACATTTTAAATGTTCGATCAGTATCGTGTTTGTTTTAATCAATCAACAACATGAGCTTAGGTGACCGGATCGGCACAAACTTTTCGTATCCGATCAAATGGGGAGCAAGGCCTCTTGGTTGTTGGTGACATACATTATCGTAGTTGTCTCAGATGCCTGGTTAATTCAACCGCAAGGCTTCCTTACGAAGATTGGTGTGGATCCTGAAATTTATCAGACCGTGGTAAGAGTGTGCGCATGATATGCACGCGTTGAATTTTGCGAACATTAAGATTATTCTTAAGAAGTTACAATCGTAACTTAATCTTTAGATTCTAAATTACTTTCATAAACACGTCTTTTAGAAATACCTTTCCTAGCAAGTTATTCTTAGGGTTCAGTTCAACTGGTTGTCGATTGAAAAGTGACTTTAACTTCTGTTACTCTATTAAGGAGGGCATACAGCCAGGGCCCTGCCAGCACCACCCCGCCTAGCCTTTTCAAGTCTTACTGGACTGGAAAGGATTGGGCGTGGCTGGTGGCGGTGCTTTTCATGCAATAGTCCCGTCTAGCACGAGGGGCGCCGCCTTTTCGTCCGTTGTGGTACCCCTTTACAGTACCGACTATCATACGAATTTTTCGAGAGACGCAGTGCCCCATCACACCCACACGTGACACTTCGGGACACCTAATGTACGCGGAGTACTACGCAGTACTTCAGATGACTTCACCGTATATGTACTAGGCGACACCGAATATCTGACATAGAACACGTGTTCTACCGGACGAAAATTCATGAAATCTCGAGAGAGTAATTGCCTCGAAACAGTTAACAGTTATCGTAATAAGAGAAAATGTCTGTCTCGTTGTAATAATTAGGCATTCAAAATATTCTTTACTGACAAGCCGTGCTACATTAAGCCGCAATAGAGTATCACTTTTTCCTTGATAACCGAACATTTGAATTTAAATCGAATTGAGGGATTTCGCTTGGTCTGTCTTTTCACTACTCAAAAGTGTTTCGATTACTGCTATACTTTTGACACCCTTCAGTACGCTATAGTTGAAAGCAAAGGCTACTCTGCTAAAAGTTATATAATCGACACTCCTGACGGTTATTTACTGACGGTACACCGTATCGGCCCAAAGAAACCACTTTTGGAGGGGAAGCGGAACGTGGTCCTACTGCAACACGGTTTTATAGATTCTGCGCATACTTGGATCAATAACCTTGCCAATCAGAGCCTTGGTTTCATCCTCGCTGACATGGGATACGATGTTTGGATGAGTAACAGCCGAGGAAACACCTACTCACAATTCCATAGAACTCTTGATTTGAAAAATGAACAATTCTGGCAGTTTTCCTGGGATGATATGGCGCACAATGATCTTCCTGCAACGATTGAATTTGTGCTTCATCAAACAGGCAAAGACAAGCTGTTCTATGTTGGTCACTCACAGGTTAGTCTGCCAAAATAAACTTTACGCGCTTCTATACCCCTTCGTTTATTAGGGCAGCCAAATTGCGTTTGCCAAATTCAATTCAGATGCAGTCCTTCGCTCAAAAATTGCTGCCATGGTTGCCCTGGCGCCAGTAGCCTACTTGGCCAACGTCAAGGGCCCTATTCGGTTTTTGTCAGCCGTCTGCAAGGAGCTTGAATTGTTTGCTGTCGTGTTCGGCCGTGGTGTATTCATGCCGTCATCCTCACTCCTGCGCTTTCTCGGAGTCCTTCTCTGTCATAGACGGTCCATGCCATTTATTTGTAGTTATGCTTACAATCTTCTTGGTGGTTATGGCTCCAAAAATACTAACATGGTGAGTGTGATTTGTCCACCGTATTTTGGCCACTGGCATAAGTATTTCTTGTCCTGATGCTCCATAACCTCGGTCCTATGTTTTCAGTCGCCCTTGTACTCAAGCGCCTAATCAAATCTGATAGAACCGAAAGTAGGAGCAACTGCTTTGTGCACTAAAACGACACCATTGTGGTTTTAGACTTAATTTACGACAAAGACAATTTCATAATAAGCAGACAAATTTCAGCAAAATCCGATAGGTACGCTGTGCACTGTTGCGAAGTTAAGAAAGTGTTGTAAGTGACAATCAGTAAAGAAGATGTGAGAACCGATAACTGGAGATTTCCTTCTGTGAGCCGGCATCCAACAAATGCAGAGAACCAAGTCCTCTTCGGTCCAGTAAGCCTTGGTTAAATTTGGGGTTTTCTCCAGATACTTCTTCGGTTCAACCGACCTAACTCATGCTGGAGGTTTCGTGTACTTCAGAACACTCATCAACAAGCGCAGAGGCTACGAAAGTGCCGAGAGATATCGAAATAAGATGGGTCACCAGAATCTGTGGGTTCGCTCGCGGGGACCAGATCGTTCCCTTTAGTCTGCAAAATAGTGTCTCGTGCCTCCTTTTATTACCGTACGTTGTTGTTTGACGCACACCTAATTTAAAGAAAGTTTTACCATTTGTTAAACTGCCTTTTAATCTCCAGATTAGTTGAACGGCCTTAGTGGCGGAATTGGCTATAAATGGAGACCTCCTCCAGTGTGCCTACTCATGTGTGACTTACGTTTTCCGACACTCAGTTACGAAAACAACCTGCGGAATAACTACTGCACCGCAATTCGCTACTCGGTTTGCATTAGAAACCTTTTTCCTCTCCCACTCGTCTCTGCTCCCTCCTCAGTATAACAACGCGCACAACGAGCATTACTCTATTCAGAGGAGCCTCTGAAGCACAGAGGAGATTGTGAGTGCAAGTAAAACCGCCAACAGAAGCGGATACCACGATCAACGCAGTCATTATATTCAACCAGATCCTGCCAATCCCCATCCCCCATTTTGACTTTTTTGTATAAAATCTGGAAGTCCGTTGGAACACTTAAAATCGCAACTTCTATACTAGCATTGAAAACCTTTGATGCCCGGAAATTATTCTTTGGTTATAAGGCTTAAGATAACCTCCTAGGTCAATCCATCTCTGTCTCATTTATCTTTCTGCTTGAGTTTCGCGTCTTGAGATATTTTTCTTATTCCTAGACACGTCTACCTGTCTTCATTGCTCACAGTCCGGCAGGAACGTCAGTACAAAATATGGTACACCATTGTCAGGCAAGTAGTTGATTCTTGTGTGGACCTGATGCCAATTTCCTGCATCAACTGATTTCTACTGACCTTCAAATGATGCAGGAAACTGTCAGAGTTCAGCCTTCAAAGGAAGACTCGCTCCTGACTTCTGCCTAACTGTATGCTGTTGTCGGCGCGATCGGCGCTGAAGAGTGGTCGCAAACTACGCATATGCGAGCAAACGAGCTACAACATCGTCCGGAAACCCGCTAATGTTGTCGGTAGACAGCGTTACGAACGCGCAACCATAAGGAAATTGTAAGACTCAGTTTTATGAGATTGAAATTATTAAGTACTTCGAAGAAGAGGTCAGAAGTGGTTATGTAGCCCTACCTGAAGTAAACGAACCCCAGCCACCTGTTATGCGAGACCGTTGGTAATAGGGGTTTTTATAGGTGGAACCGGGGAACGCACAGGCGACGAGTTCAAGTAATTGTATGCAAAAGAAAAGCCATTGAGAATGCGCGGTTTTACTATGAGCGTTTGAGAAATAGTTGCTCTAAGCCCTAAACCCAACCCAGACAGTAAATTTTTCCATCAGCTGGGGCTATTCAACCACATCATACCGAAAAAGAATTTAAGGGGGATCAGAAGCGCGTGACCCCGCTGAATGATCGATCCAACGCTCCCGTAGGAGACGCTTTAAGGACTACCTCATTCGCAGTGTCTGACACACTGTGAGTAGGCTGGCATCCCATATTCATGAGGACCTACAACTTACGGCTAGTCACTGAGGTGCGTCGGGCCGATTGGATACCCCTAAAGTCGTTGCCACGCAGCCAAAAAATAAGGCCTCGAATCCCGATCAACAAACTTCAGGTAGACTCATTGAGGCCAGTGTTCATGCATATTCACGTAATAATATGGACCTTTTTGGTCATAAATAAACTCCCAACTGCAATGGCCACGGAAAGACTAATCACTCAAGCAGCAGCTAAGTTATAGTGTTTTCCGGCGCCAGTTCTTTTAGTCGCGTGGCACGCCTTAATCTGGGGGTCTTCATGCCATTCTAACCCCAACACCGAATGGTAACTCTCCAGTCGGCTTGAGGCGGACTTGTCATCAGTTTTAGAGAATCAAGATTGACTTAATTCGTCACGTTCGCTTTCCTTAAGTTAGACAATCAAACACTTTTTTCGACTGCTACCACGTGTGCCGTCATGGCTTCGGAGGCTTCCAGTTAACGAATTAATTTCACTCTTGGTGTGTTCTTTATGGCTCGTATGGTGTGGTATGCGAGTTTCCAGACTCCTCAAAGACGACTCTTTCTCGAGGAGGAAGAGGGCAACGTTTGTGAGTTTTACTTCCCCGGCTCCTGCGACCTTACGGATCTGCGGTCGCCCTTACTCTATCCTTTCATCAGAACATAATCAGTGTCGTAGGGGTAGTACGGGGTTGATGCTGCCAAATCTACCGCCAGTTCAGCGCTTACTTCGAAAGCTCTCTATTCGACTTTAGCACACATACCGTTTCTACCCCAGCTAAATAAAACTTCTGCCCAAAAATAAAAACAGTATGTAGTGGGCAGCATGGACTACCGCTGATTGTCACATGCTACTGCAGCTGTTGCTATCTTATAGGTGTCAGCATATACCGGTCTTACAAGAGACTGTCGAACACTGAACGCACTTACAAATTCTTTCCTAATTGGTGGGGGGTTGAGGGTGCGCTATAAGGGAAGCCCGTAGCCCATTACTCGATTTATGCATGCATTAGTGAGTTTTGCCGCAACGACTCGATATACCAGCTTTTGTAAGAGAACTTCTGCGATTAAAACGATGATTATAAGGTATCCCCACAACACCCTCCGTAGACATCAATCGGGAATGTGATGAATGATCACCAAGAAGGCATGAAGATTCGCAAAATAGCCGCCGTCTGAAGAGGGTTGTGGACTTCGATTGCAGTACGCAAGCTGTCAGTTTATGTTGAAAAAAGCATAATCTTCACAATGTGATTTTTAATCAACCCTCATATTTACGTCTGTTGCGCATACAGAGTATGTTCCACGGGAAATTTCAAGGCTTTGACTTTGGAGCGGAAGAGAACATGCGTCATTATAATCAACCCGTCCCTCCAGTCTACGGCGTCGGCAACTTGGACATGCCGATGAAACTGTATTGGGGTGGCGATGACTGGCTTTCAGCACCTGAGGATGTCCGCAGGCTGCTCGCAGAACTGCCGAAGCGGCCCTACATTCGAGACATGTATCTGCCGCATTACAACCATCTAGAATATGTGAGGGGCATGGATGCCGCCAGGGACATCTACTCGGATATACTCGAATTCTTCAGAGAATTCCAGTGACTATTTCAAAAGTACATATTCTGATCCTAAGATGATATCGACTGCACTTTCACCTATTGACCTGCTCATCCAATTCCTTTTTTCTGTAAGATTAGTCTTGGGCTACTGCCAATCCCATCTACATATCATTTGCGTCCCATTATCCACTGTGTTTCCTGCAAACAATAAATTCTAAACTTTCCCGGATTGCTAATCAAAATTCTGCACAGAAACGATCTGAATCGTCGTGGGAAATTCGTTCACAGATTCGTCCATGGGATATCCTCTTCTCGCTGCAGCGTGGATTTTATCCTATCGCCCTTGCTGGAACTAGCGAAGTGATGAATAATAATTGAGAATGGAGCATCGTCAAGGATACAATCAGGATTATCGTTTGTTGGGACGTAGTCTAAATAGAGTCCTAGACATTTTTATTCAGTATCACCAATCAGATTTGAATGCTGACTATGAGTTCGGAGATCTGCCCTGCGATGTTGAGTAGCAAGATGCCCCTGTGGTCGCCACATAGTTGCTGGTGTCCTGTGCATTTTTAGATGATAATTCCATCTACATATCACGGGCATCCCAGTATCCATTTTCTGTCCTGCTAACAATAAAGGATACACTCTATCCTGCATTCTTATCAAAATTCTTTATGCGGACTATCTGAATCATCGTGGGAGCTTCGTTCACAGATTCGTCCACGAGATATCCTCTTCACTCTGCAGCGTGTGTTTCAATCTACTGCCTTTGCCGACACTAGACGACCAATGAGTTATCATCGAGGAAGCAGTACCGTCAAGGACACGGTCAGAACTGTCGCATGCTAAGGCGTAATCGGAGTTGACTGCTGGACATTTATAATCGGTTTTCGACCGATCGGATTTGTCTCAGCAAACCAGTTTTGAATGCTGACTATGCATCCCGAGAGTTTTTCTTCCCACGTGGAAGGGAATTTCATACACCTCAGTACGTTGTATCCTTCTGCTCCATCAGGATCTGACATCAGAACGGTGGCAGAGGTCCCACCCACTTCATCCAGAAGGGGGTATCAAACATGTACCGCGGTAACAGTTCGACGTCGACGCCGTGCGCCGTACGGATTGGGTGCAGCATCTGTGTCTAGCGCACGAATTAGTTTGCAGCAGTGTTTTCCTTGCTATCCCTAATAAATCTTGCACCAACGGTAAGGCAATGTCTAGACTTCCGAAGATGGACGAGGAATCAATGGCCAACAAAACTAATCAGTCCGTTCTGTCTGGTTACAATATGGTCGGTTTGCAGGCGAAATAGGTGCAGATGCAATGAACGCCACAATGAGAAGGAGCCATTGTTGCATGGCTTTCCGTTATCTTGGAAACCGACTTACCCTGTCATTCAGAAAACCTGCAAGTCACGTTTCTGAATGCCTCATGATCTTTTTGTATACATCAAATTTCATATTGGAAGTGGTGCGCCGATTTGCCATTTCGGTAGATTTCCCCATGCTGGTCTTGGCCTCCCTCACTCTCATATCCCCAGGAGAAGCTCTTAACAGTCTAGGTTAGTGTCGTCCAGTTATTGAGACACGACGTGAGACATTCAGTAGTCATACCTAGACTACCTACACTACACTAACAAGTCAAGGCTATGCATATCCTCGGCAGTTTGCACATATGAACTGACATGGACATGTGCGAATTATATGAATCACTGGCTTGTGCAATCCTTGTAGTCTGACATACATATGCTTTCGGAGATTCCCAGCAGATGCTGCCGTGTGGAATATGAGCTGAAATAGTTCAAGCTGTTCAAAATAAGTACTGACGCCATATGCGTTCGAAGAACCTGCATCACGTCGTGTATTGTTCGATTAGAATGCCGGAGTTATTACCACTGGCTCAGGACGAACAGTTCCTCCGAGAAGTGTGTCACCAGATGAAGGTGTTAGTGTGGAAGAGCTGTCCGGAGCACTGTGCCGTTTTCATCGTCAAGGACAGGTTCAATTTTCACCCGGCTGTTACCTGACCTCTCGACAAATTCCAGATTACGGGAATGTCTGGGGCTGTGTTTGAAGAAGGAGACACGATCGCTGGGACTCGTTTCTTCACTTCTATTGGTGTTGTGTTTGGGGTGTGATCGCTATGTAGGTTACCCTTATGAGTTGTAACCGTCCTTTTTGTGTACGCAGGAGCTGCCAATAAATCTCAAATCTTTTGCAGTTTCCTCATGCTGTTACTGTTATACTGACGTCAATTAAGCAGCTCTCTGCACGTCCTCTTTAATTTGAATGGGCCAGTATTTTCCGTAACCTGAGCAGTGAGCGCACATTTACCATAAAATATCTATGCTGTTTTTATCATCTCCCCAGGAAGTCGAATAAGAAGAAGATAGAGTGGGTTTGTGAATCAGACTACCTTCGCGCTAATGTTCGGTAAACTCTCTCGCTTCCTGAAGAAGGAGACACGATAGCCGGGACAAGAGCTTTACTAGCCTGGCGTTTCGGATTCCTACTCGAATTCATCATCAGAGACAAAAAAACAGAAACGGGTGGTTGCTGCACAAGGGGCTGCGGTATTTATAGGATGCTGTAGCCATGCTACCGCATACCTTTGAACATTCACGGCTCCCCCCTTCATCCGGGATCGTCGCACTTGGTGTGATCACTGCCCGATGGCCGACATTCGAGTCGATAATTGCTGCAATTTCATCACGTGCGTTGGATGTTGGCGTGATGATTGCTCGACCATCTGACGCACCGACCCCGGTTTTGGGAAAAGTGTTCACCTCTGCGCTCCCCGCATGGCTTGGTACTCTGCCTAGGCGAAGTGTTAGCACGCAGTATGGAGTGGGAAGATCGTTGCACTTGTTGATGGACTGGGGACCAGTAAACCTCGATTCCAGTAGCTCTCGGCTCACGCGGTTGTCACCTCTTGCGAAAATTTCGGCCTCATCGAATTTGAATGTTTGGCCAGATCTCGTCGAATGAGCCGCAACTTGAGAGCTGGCGTCATTTCTGCGCACCGCTGCCTCGTGTTCGGCCATTCTCGTTCGGAGCTGTCTTCCAGTTTCTCCGACGTAGTTGCTTTGTCTGCAACTGCACCAGATCCGATTAACGACTCCAGACGTTTCTAGCCGTGACAGTGGGTCTTTCGGTTTCATGACCAGACGCCTCCGGTCTGTGTGCCACTCCAACCCCAAGTGGTGCGAGAAGGCGGCCGACAGCTTCCGAAACGTTCTTGACATACGGAAGTGCCCGCCAAGATTTGGTGTCCGCGCGGTTAGGCCTTTCGTCCCTTTTGCGTATGCACCGGTCGACGAAGTTGCGCGGGTAGCCATTGGCTTTGAAGACCCGTCGGAGGTATTGTAGTTCGGCAATTTTGTCTTCCGGCTCACTGCAGTGCGTTTCGACACGCCGATAGAGCGTCCTTACACAACTGCGTTTGTGGCTGATTGGGTGGTTACTGTTGAAGTTCAGTACTTGCATCGTATTTGTTGCTTTCCTGAACACTTTGGTTTTTAGTTCACCATAATCTTTGCGGCATACGAGGACATCCGGGAAGGCCAGCTGGTTGTTCTCTTCCCCCTCCATCGTAAATTGAATGTCCGGGAAGACGGCGTAGAGATGTTCTTGGAATGTCAACACCTGATCCCGTTCGATGACGACGAAGGTGTCATCCACATATCGGGCTCAGAATTTCGGTCTGTCTCTCGCTTCCATCACAGAGTAGTGCGGTCAAAGCCAGTGTGTGCTCGCTGTGCAACTGCCTGCGAGGCTCCACCTGAAGCCTCAGCATAAAATGGGAGGCATAGATCTCGCTGAGTGATCGGAGAGGGTGCTCTACCGCACAGTTTCAGTTAACTCAGCAGGACTCCAGCTTAAACGACAGACGTAACAAATGTGGGATTGGGCAGTACTGGCCGGTGGCTGCATACAAGCCAAAAATCGCCAATGCACTCGTTCACTTTGTCAGTATACTCATTCCGTACACATAAAGTAGGTGGGCTAACCGAAATTCCGAAATGTGTTTTCGTTTCGAAAAGATTGATTAAGTAGGGTTGTAAAACTAGTCAGCCTGCAACATAATTCTACAATATTTCAGTCACCTCAGGGGGCCGGCGTTTGAAACAACTCCTTTCCGGCTGCATGTAAAAACTGCACTTTGTAAATAATAGCCACTCATGTAGCATGAATTTTGCTCATTGATTTTCGATGACTCTAAATGTCCAATTATATTTCCTAGAAAACATATATACATACATACATACATACATACATACATACAAATATTCATTCCTTTGATCATTCGGTATGCAGTTACATCTTCTAATTTTATACTCGAAGGAGGGACATCATTATATTTTTAAAAAGTTTGTAATTTTGGGAGTTTTAAATACCGTGGAATGGCCTTTCATAAATCGTCATGTCTCTGCATTTACAAATGTGGCTGGTAAAGTTAACAATGTGGCTCAAATCCACTGTTAAATTTTACGAAACCTGTATGGTTCTCCATTATTACTGTAGAGAAACGAGAGGCTTCCCGTACGCGGAAAATAAAAGGCTTGTAGTTTGGAAATCCTGAATCCAACTGTAACGGCAGAGCGGGTTCAAACTTATTCGGGAATCGGAAAAGTTTTTGAAAACCGAATTATACCCTTTCATTGAGTATGAGCTTGGAAAAAGACGTAATTTTCTACTAAATGAGCAAAAGAATGAATATTTTTATTCATTTTTACCATGAAATATAGTTGGACTTTTAGGGACATCGAAACTAAATGGGAAAAATTCATTCTATTTCAGTAGTCATTTTTTACAGTGTGTAGTTTTTACACAGTATACTCATTTCCGCATGGCGACAAAGAATACTAAATAGCGAGACAGTAATGAACTTCGGTTCGATTAAGTGCTTACGACACATCTGGCAGAGCCCACTGGTGGACCAGCTACGCCCTCGCGGACGCAGATTTGCCTTTCAATCCTTTTTGAATATCTGACTACGTATACTGTGAGTGTTTTTTCCGCATGGAAGAGAACATCATGT